TGTCTCCCTGTTGGAAACCTCTCGTACCACCCTTACCTGGGTCCCTGTGGCTGACTCCTCCTCTGTCCGGATTCCTGGGCCTTTTAATCCCCTTTCTCTCGCCCTGCTGCTTTGGGTGTGCCTGAGTTCCCTCTCCTCACCTGGATCCCTGTGGCTGACTATTCCTCTGTCTGTCAATCTTTTGGAGAAGACATATATAGACAATCCAATAATCACTAAATAAATCCTGAAAAAGCAGAGATATTAATGGAGTTCCTTGGGCTCTTTGAAAGGGAAATGACTAACTCTGCCTAGAAAACTTTGAAAAGTCTATATATGGAAAAGGCAACATTTGACTTGGATCTTAGAAGTGGACCAAGAGTTTTCCAGGGTGAAGAAAAGCATTCTAAATATAAGGAACAATATAGTATGTGTGCAAAAAGCATGAAACAGTAACTCTGCAGGGCAGTGACATTTCATGTAGCTGAAGCACTGGATTCTTAAGCAAAAATGTGGCAAGAGAAGTAGGTCTCAGATTACTACAATTATGTCTCCTATGCCTTGGGCAATCCTGTGAGCAATAAGGTCCCATTAAAGGTGTTCCACAAAACAAGTGACAAATCAGCTTGGTTTCTCAGAAAAAATAACTCTGGTGATACTCTAGAGAATGCAGTGAAATGGAAGACAACCCAAATCTGAACCTAGAAAGAATTCTGTTGAGCCATTATTCATTTCTTGCCTGAAAAATAGTTGCTTTACTAAAATGGTATCCTTAACTTCATAATCACATATCAATGCTATCATCAAGTTGCTATCATCAAAACTAAGAGAACCAAAGTATATATACAAATATATCAAATCAATGAATAATTATAATGGTCTCATAGAAAATTGTTCATGAGGCTATAATAAAGCAAATACTCAACCCTGGAACAGAAGGAAAGTATTTTCAAAAGATCACAAAAAATGATGTATGCTCACATAGGGTATTTTCAGAGCAACAGAACTATTCTGTATGACACTATAATAGTGAGCACATGACATTAAACATTTGTCTAAACCCACAGGACCATAGAACACAAAATGTGAACCCTAAAGTAAATGATGGGTTTTAGTTACTAATAATGTATCAATATTGGTACATCAATTTTAACAAAATTACGATAAGAATATAAGAAGTTAATAGGAAATAGTGTTCAGAGGAAGAAAAGGTATATGGGAAATCTACTTTCTACATGATTTTTCTGTAAGCCTAAATGCTCTAAAAGGTCTATTTAAAAAAAAAAAAAAAAGAGTATGCATACTCCAGATACCAACTATATGTGTTCTTACTTTCCTTCTTTATATCATTCTGTTCTTTTCAAAATTGTCATAATTATCAAGTAATACTAGATGGCAACTAACAACAACCCATTTATTATCAGTAACAAATAAAAAAGCACACTGATCATTGCATTTCCAAAATAATTATCTTTATATAAAAAAAAAAAATATTACTTTTTTGTCTCCTTGTTTTCGTCTCCGTAGCCCCGGTCTATAATCATCTCCAAATCTCAGAAAGTAATAGTAAGAAACTAGTCTTTCAATAGGATCTCTTATGACATTAATGTAAATAGGCTTCTTCTTCACACCAAATCTGAAATAGAATAATATTAAAGAATAAAATAAAATCAGTATTTCTTTCTGATTAGGAGTGTCTTAAAATTAGACACCTGTGGTATCAATCCTATGTGTAAAGAGTAATCATGAATTAAAAAAAAAAAAAGCAGACTATGTGGAGATTAGGAAAAATTTTATAAGTTTTTATGTTACAATAAAGTAAACAAGAAATAAAAAATTTTAAATTATAGTTTAAGATAAAGGGGAAAAACGAGTGAAAATAATTCTAAACTTTACTGATGAGAATTATATAAAGTATTTTAATTTCATGCTTTCCTTAGATTTCAAGTTCAAGTAGACTACTCCCTATCGAAGCTAAGAACAAACAAACAAAAAACCCACTCCATTGCCATCAAGTCGATTCTGAATCACAGCGATCCCCACTGGGCTTCCAAAGCTGTAAATCTTTACGGAAGTAGATTGCCTGATCTTCCCACAGAGAAGCTGGCGGGACTGAACTGCTGACCTTCTGGTTAGCAGCCAAATGTCTTACCCACTATGCCACCAGAGCTGTTTCCATAAGGTTTATAAGGCTATAAATCTTTACAGAAGCAGACTGCCTCATCTTTCTGCCACCAAATGGGTGGTGGGTTCAAACTGCTGACCTTTTGGTTAGCAGCTGAATACTTTAACCACTACACTAGCAGAGCTCCTTTTCAAGCTAACAGAAACTCAAAAAACTAACTGCCATCAAGTTGATTCCAACTCATAGCGACCCCCATTAGGTTCTGAAGGCTGTAAATCTTCACAGAAGCAGATTGCCCCATCCTTCTTCCATAGGGCAAATGGTGGGTTTGAATCACTAACCTGGTTAGCAGTCAAATGCCTTAACCACCACACTACCAGAACTCCTCTCAAACTAATAAATATTTATTATTGGAAAAGAATATTTATAATAATAAACTTATCTAAAAAAAGTACTTCATTATATTCAATAAATAAAATTACTGGGGCTAAAAGAAGAGGTACAAACACACATAATATATACAGCAATGATATATTGCTCAAGTTTCCAGTTCATCAAACTAGGTAAACGTTATCAGTGGATACAGCCTAAGATAATGCAACTGTGACCATTTGATTTTGCGTTCTCCTGTTGCTCATTTTAAAAACAAGTGAAATAAGTTAAAATTTCAGCATCATTTCTTAGGAAATGATAAAGAGTGGAAGGAACATAGAAACCTTTTACTTTAGCAATCCTTGCAAACTCTGTAACTGTCCAAACCAGCTCCCTGTTCCAATATTCTCACATTTCCCAATCTTGAAATCTTACAATTATCTTAACTTTTCCAATCTTTCCCTTTTAATCTACCTTCAACACTAATTCTCGTATGACAGTCCTAAAACCATCATCTATTAGAGATCATTCTTCTTAAGAACCTGAATAACTACTGTTTATGTTGGCATAAAGCCTAAACTCCTTAGCCAGCTTGTTAATGCCTCATGTATCACCTTATCAATCTAATTTTACTTTCAACTTTCCTCAAACAAGAAACCATCTGTTAACAGCCAGGCTTAGTTCCTCTACCTATCTATCTATCTACTTGATCCTATTTATAGGACCCCAGTGAGGGTCACTATGATTCAGAACCAACTTGATAGCAATGGAGTGGGGTTTTTTGTTTGTTTGTTCTCAGCTTCAATAGGGAGTAGTCTACTTGAACTTGAAATCTAAGGAAAGCATGAAATTAAAATACTTTATATAATTCTTGTCAGTAAAGTTTAAATACTTAATCCACAATATATACTTAATCCTATGTTTCCTTATACGTCTTTGCTTATTCTGTCTTCTTTAACTAGAATGCCATTCTCATGTCTTTATTCTTTCTCTCTACTCATTCATTTGTTCAAAAACTATTTTTGGGTACCCAATATATGAGAGGGAGCTCTGGTAGCATAGTGGCTAAGGCACTTGACTGCTAACCAGAAGGCTGGCGGTTCAAACCCACCAGCCACTCCTCGGAAGGAAGATGGGGCAATCTACTTCCGTAGTGATACTGCCTCGGAAACCCAAGGAGGGGTCGCTATGAGTCGGGTCTGACTCAATGGCACATAACAACAACAACAACAACAACAACAACAACAACAACAATATATGAGAGGCACTATTCTAGATACTAAGGAGCTCCAGTGATTCAATGCCTAAGGCATCTGACTGCTTTAGGTTGAAGGCTGGCAGTTCAAATCGACCAGCCACTCTGTGGAAGAAGATGGGTCAATCTACTTCTGTAAAGATTTACAGCTTTGGAAACCCAATGGGGGTTGCTATGAGTTGGACTCAATGGCAGTGGGTTTATTTTAGATACTAGGAATGCTGCAATGAGTAAAAAAGACAAAATACTTTATATCCTTATAGAGCTATCAGCATATTCTGGTGGCATACATGTTGCTGGAAGCTATGCTACTGTTATTTCAAATACCAGCAGGGCAACTGTGATAGCTGGAGCTGTGTGTCAACTTGGCTGGACCACAATTCTGTGTGGTTTCAGTAATTGTGATGTGGGTTGTTCCCATGATGGGATCAGATATATATGTTTGGAGCAATCAATCTGTTGAAAGGGAGTTGAACAGGGGGTGTGGCCTGCTTCCAGTATATCTACGGACATCCTGGGAAAAGAGACATTCTTCTGTGGATCGGGATTCTGCTGTGCTGCCTACAACTGTCCATGAGTGAACAATCCACCATTCAGCCTGGAGATCTTGGATTCATCATTCGTTGGAGTCAACAGCCAGTATACTGCCTGCCAACCTTGAGCTCGTCAGTCCCTGCAGCTGCATGAGTCAGGAAAAGCCTTCAGCTTGACCTATGATCCAAGAACTTGGGACTTGCCAGCTTCTATAAGTTTCCTAAGATAAATTTCTCTTTCTCTCTCTCTATAAGCTTTACTGATTTTGCTTCTCTTGACAACCCAGTCTAACACAGTCAACCACAGTAGACAAATTTCACTGGAACTTGCAGATTAAGAGAGACTATGAAGAAGGACATGGCAGTCAACTTCTGAAAATCTGGTTGCTGAACACCTTATGAATAGTGGTGAAAAATTATTTGACATAGTGCTGGAAAATGAGTCCTTCAGTTTGGAAGGCACTCAAAAACACAACTGAGGAAGAACAGTCTCCTCAAAGTAAAGTTGACCTTGTTGTTGTTTGCCGTTGAGTCGGCCCCGACTCATAGCGACCCCTCCTTGGGTTTCCGAGGCAGTATCACTACGGAAGTAGGATTGCCCAACCTTCCTTCCGAGGAGTGGCTGGTGGGTTTGAACCGCCAGCCGTCTGGTTAGCAGGCAAGTGTCTTAGCCACTATGCTACCAGAGCTCCCAAGTTGACCTTAATGACATGGAATGAGTAAAGTCTTCAGGACCTTCATTTGCTGATGTGGCACAACTCAAAAGAAGAAGAAATAATTGCAAACGTCCATTAATAATTGGAGCATGGAATGTATGAAGTTGAATATAGGAAAACTGGAAGTTGTAAAAAATGAAACGGGACACATAAAGATCAATATTATAGGCATTAGTGAGCTGAAATGGACTGAAACTGGCCAATTTGAATTGGACAACCATGTGGTCTACTATGTCAGTAATGACAAATTAAAGAGGAATGGACTCACATTCATCTTTAAAAAGAACATTTCAAGATTTATACTGAAGTAAAATCCTGTCAGTGATATGATAATATCCATACACCCAAGAGGAAATCCAATTAATATTACTATTATTCAAATTTATGCACCAACCACTAAAGCCAAAGATGAAGAAATGGAAGATATTTACCAACTTCTGCACTCTAAAATTGACCTAATATGCAAACAAAATGCATGGATAATTACTGGTGATTGGAATGCAAAAGTTAGGGAAAAAAAGAAGCATCATTGGTAATTGGAAAATATGGCCTTGGTGTTAGAAATGACACTGGAAATCATTTGATGGAAATTTTCAAGTGCAACAACTTATTAATGCATAAGTACCTTTTCAACAACACAAATAGGACTATACATGTGGACCTTGCTAAATGGAATACACAGGAATCAAATTGACTATATCTGTGGAAAGAGAAGATGGAGAAGCTAAATTATCATCCATAGAACAAGGCCCAGGGCCAACTGTGGAACAGACCATCAGTTGCTCATATGCAAGTTTAAGTTGAAGCTTAAGAAAATTAAAACAAATCCATGAAAGCCAAAATACGATGTTCAGTATATCCCACCTTAATTCAGAGCATCTGAAGAATAGATGTGACACACTGAACGCCAATGCCTGAAGTCCAGATAAGCTGTGGGATGACATAAGGATATCATACATTAAGAAAACAAAAAGTCATTAAAAAGGCAGGAAAGGAAGAAAAGACCAAAGTGGATGTCAGAAGAGACTCTGAAACTTGCTATTGAATGTAGAACAGCTAAAGTGCATGGAAGAAATCAAGCAAAAGCTCTGAACTTCTGGAGGATTTCAAAGGGCAGCCTGAGTATTATAATGAAATGTGCAAAGACCTGGAGCTGGAGAATCAAAAGGGAAGAATACGTTTTGCATTTCTCAATCATTTTAGGAGGTGGCATATGATCAAGAACCGATGATACTGAAGGAAGAAGTCCAAGCTACGTGGAAGGTACTGGTGAAAAGCAAGGCTCCAGGAATTGACAGAATACCCACTGAGTTGTTTCAACAAATGGATGAGACACTGGAAGCCCTTGCTTGTTTGTTTATGCCAAGACATTTGGAAGACAGCTACCTAGACAACTGATGGGAATTTTTTTTGAAAGACAGTAAAAAACATCTACTTAAAATAAACTAGTTCACTTTGTTCTTTTTACTTCTGATGATTACAGTCAATGTCTTACACACAGCAGACATTTCATACATATTTTTTGTATTGAGGTAAATGAGTAGAGGGGAAAGAAGAGAAAAAGCAAGGAGTCTGGAAAACTAATTATTCCAGACTCTCAATTATCAGAAATTAGCTGGCAGGAAGTTCCTAACC